TTGACCGAAGTTTATTAACTATTCTAAACTTTAGTGGTAAATTATTCGCTATTAAAATAATTTGCCTACAAAAGCCTGAAAAGAAAACCCATCAAACTTTGGACAGTTACGAGTACCTTTAACACAACCTTGCGAACTTCATGCCACTGTTTGACCTCTCTCACACAATCAAAACTTTCGCCAAAAACAACCCGACAGTTTCCCCTACGTCACAGCTGCAACAATGACGTCACCATATACCGTGACTAATATCATTTGGCGAGCTTGCGAACTTTTAAAAACAAAATGTTGTAAGTGGCGAAGTTTGTTCGGCAACGTTAGCGTGTTGTTCCATGTTTACAAGCAGAATTAGTTTGGAAGGTAATTTCAAGTTTCGAACGGAAGTGGACATTACACCTGACAGCTACAATTTAAAGTAACAAAGTGGAACAATCTTGACACCTTGATTGGCTTACTTCGGCTTCAAGTTTAGGGCCAAAGTAACCCCGTTTTACTTTAGAGTGATAACTTTTATACCCCGCTGTTTACTGACAACACTAATCCTGGCAACATTAAGTTACTCTTGATTAAATTTTAGAGATTAAACAGGTCTGGTCTAGCTCTGGAAACAAAATACCTAATCTATTTTATTTTTATAAGATTTCTTGTAAGAGATGTTCCTTAAGCGATAAGGCTACATTATAATTATATAGACCCCTAACTATTATTCCCTTTAATTTTTAAGGCTTCAGATATACAGGTACGGACTACAGTCACCCCGAGATGTGCGTCAGACATGGGGTACGGCAGGGAGGACTCCAGCAGCCGCTGATGCGTTCCTGAAGCTCCTCCTGACCGTCGAGGTAGGCCGCCGCGGGGTCTAGTGGGTAAACCGGTTTTTCGGGAGTCTCACATACATCCTGCGTTTCCCCAACGGAAGGTATGGTGTGAAAAGCATTCCCCTCGTTAAAAAAAACGTACGTAACAGAAGGACTCCTAATGAGAACTCTAAAATGGCAAATTATAGTCCTGCCATCCAAGTAATATTACGTGATACATACAAAGTTTCAGATATGCCAATTAGAAGTTAGTTGAATTTGACTTTGAAGAGTGTAAGCAACTCTTCGGTGTCAATTTTAACCAACTTCAACTCTTCTTCTTCAAGTTTTGAATGAGAATATAAAATATAATATAGTGAAGCGTGCATCATTGCGTCCTAGAGCTTTTATATACTTAACTTTAGTCTAGATAACGCTGAGTTATATCTGTGTAATGATGGAATAAGAATACGGAGTGTCAGCACCTCTATTCATCCCGCAGGTTTCGTAACCGGGTGCGGGTGTGCAAAACATTTTCAGGAAGGCGGCAAAGACAGAAATCGAAAAGAACGAAACAATCTCAATATTTTGCATGTCAAATATACTTTTATTATGTCATAATAGTAACATCTATTGATGCAAACGTTTAATAAGCTTCGAATTACTTTATTAAACGTAAGTATGTATAATTTGAATCCCTCCCACAAGATTATGACAGTCATACTAATCAAATTCAAAACTACCCTACCGGTTGTCCGATGGGTGTTATCCGAAAGCCGATTTCCGCACAAAAAAGGGTGGCTTCATCAGCATTACACGCGGGCGCTCAATAGGCTAGCGGCGGCCCTGCGTAAGAGACGACTAAGCGAGCAAACTCTTAAGGACAACAGCACTGCAAAGAGAAGGAAAACTTAAAACTAACCATATACCAATCCGTCTGGCCAGCGTGGTTAGTAGGCATACACCTCCTTTTAAAGGAGAGGCATTGGCCATTAATAGTCCTCTGCTGTATATTGATCCAGCAAAGGACTATTAAAGGCTGTTGATAATGATGATCAGATATGTCCTAGAATATTATCATTACTAGAGATCGTCACACGGTAGAAGATTGTTCTCTTTCAGTGACCATAATAACTTGTTTAAAAAAAAAGTTTTAAAAGAGACAACTTCGACTTTTACAAACAAAACACACAAAGTGTCGTCTCATGTGGGGTCGGACCCAAAGCACTCAGCGTAGTAGTGTGGCGTGGCGACCGCTTAAACCACTACGCCATCCGTGCAGTTACTCCTGAAGTGTCATTGTATGTCCTGTTGTACCATGACGTGTTATATACCAGACATAAAAAAGTTTTTCAGACATGTATAAAAAAAGGCACAAAGAATTGTCTTCTTTTATTAATATATAAATGCGAAACAAAATAAAATAGTTCTCGCAGCTCTTAGTAACAGGTAACTCAACGGAATCGTTACCACGTCTGTGCAATTACATGAACGTCGCTGCTTCTCAAACTTTTGTTAACTTAATGTTATTATAACTTCGCCACAACGAGTTGACACAAGCGCTCCTCGACTGGCCAATATTATTCTCAATATTGTTGCTCCATTTGAATACGAACTCAACCCATATATTTCCTTTTTTTTTATTTATTACTAGTATTATAAAAATCTGAGCAGTAGTAACGAAATGGTTTGAGGATTGTTTGGAGCTCACCGCCATCCATCCATCCCCATCACGTGGGTAATCACTCCCCCACTGCGCTCTTCAAGAAATTTTTGACCTCGCACAACCAATTTGTATAATAAACTATCACCTCTGGGATTTCTGCACCGATCCAACCTCAAAACTTTCTGGAGAATAACGTATTCCCATCAGGCCGGCAACATACCTATGACTGACTGACCGAGTAGAAGATGTCAATCAGCGACAGTCGTCAATCACCATCAGGTGTCCCATCTGTTCATTTGACCGCCGTGTCATAAAAAAACTGGTCGGAGTAGCTCTAGGCACTCGAACCAATCATAACAAGCAGCAAATATACAGGTTCATGTTCAATATTCCTGAACATGACACGTGGTCATCAATATTAATTAACACTCACAATATTCGAGGTGTCGCTTATTGATCACGACATCTATATAACCGATATATCCCTTAACAATATGTCTCTGGGTTTCAGTTACATAATATGTATACATTTACTAAAAAACATGATTTTATGGCATCGGGGGCAAAGTGCTAAGGATTTTAATCTTGTGTGAATTTTTGGGAGGTCAATAGTTTTGGACTTTTTTTAAGGGATGAGGCGACCTTCCACGTTGGTGTCAGAAGCTGTACTTCTAGAGCAGCTAGTCAGGCATCAAATATGAATACCTATCTTAGTACGTTCTAGAACCCATCGTAGAATACGGCTTTGTGTGAGCGTAAATAGCGATGAGTAATTTGTGCCAGAATCTTATTACCATAGTTTTTCATTATGTAAACATTCTACCATCAATTTTCGCCAAAGTTCTCTAACGTGGCACGTGTTATGATAAGAAATTGCTTTCCGTTAATTTAATAATACTCATTGAGCATTGCTATTGTCATTAAATTAAGACATTGTAGCGAGGGTGGCGCAATGCGGTGTTTATCAATTATCATAGAGGAAAAGAGAACTAGAGAAGAAAGAAACTGCAACGAGCCAGCAACATCGAGTGACCCGCCTGTCCACAGTCCTAATTGTATCACTGTATCCTTTGCTAATAAGCAGCAATAAAAGAAATAATAAAAAATATTATTAACTTATCCCTGCCCCATGTCATGTTAAACAGAATTATGGAACAATAAAAGTGATTGGATAAACCTTATACTGCTAATTTAAACTTCAAACTAAATTTCAACTGAATTTTATTTACAAAACCGAGAACTGTCGACCAATGTTGCAAGCTCGAAAATCGAGTAATAGTAGAAATTACTGTATAATAAATCCATGTTTGAGAAGCCGCAGGGCACCAGAGCGAATAAATACCTACACAAAGACCAGTATTTATATATTCAGGAATCCATTGTTCTGATAAAGCTACCTAATAAAACTTCTACGTTAGGTAGATTGTGTTTCGGAATGGATTGGAAGTTGTTAAAAGTTTTTTAGGTAAAGGCGAGCAAACGAACAGAACCATCCCCGCCCCCCACCATGCTTTGACTTTGGGGCTCTGCTAACCTCACTCATTTGGTGAAAAGCAAGGCAAAAATTGGTCAACACCGGTTTTCTGTGAGGCCGTAGTACTCCGGTCGAGAATGCTCATTTGTTATGAAGCATGTCTCTCCGGTAGTATTTATTTATTTTATGTTTTTTAACTGATTTCAAAAAGACCAAAAAAATTTGTTTTTTACGCGATATCTCCGTCAATGGTATTGTGCATCGGGCTTAGCACCGACTTCAAACAGACTAGAAGGGATTATTGCTATTATTATGTTATCTGTTATATTGAGGGTCGCACTTTTTTTGGCTTTTTTACTTAGATTTATAATTATTTTTGGATTTTTAGTGCTCTTTTTCAGTATTATTTGAAGTCGGTTTAACATTTTTTTAAAGGATTAAGCTTACATATAAAAACTGGCTGGATAGGCAATCAGTAAATATTTGTGTTGTTGCTTTACGGTTACGTCATAAATGAATGTGTATAATAAAAACATCCTTGTGAAACATGTACGATATATTTGTAAATATTATGCGTGTTCTTTCTAAATATAACCCACAGTTCAATTCAATATTACTTTGGTTCCAGATAACATTGTGCAATATGACAAAGAATAAAAACAGCAATAATAATATTTGTGTTGCAACACAACGCCATCTAGTTTTAAACTAAGCAGAGCTTGTACTATGAAAGCTAGTTTGACTGATAGAATACTTATATACTTTTTTAGGTAAATACATACATATTATAAATAGAAAACACCCGAACTCCGAAATAAATATTTGCAGATTATACAAACATAATACTGGTAATAGCCAACACATTCAGAGCTGACTAGATGTTACAAAATATTTAAATAAATATGTGTCTTTTTGAAGTGTTGATACATAAGCCTGGCTGAAGCCAAGACCAATCGCTAAGAGCGAAATTTCATTATGTCCTCTATCATTATGCTCAAGACGGACTAAAGAGCTATTGTTGGGTTAGAACAAAAAAGAAACGACTGTTTTATATAATTATGTATTAATTATTTGACCCTTGTTCCACTAGATCACAACGTGCCCGACGATCAACGACTGGACAGCAAATACCGTGGTACCTGTGCGTGCCATCGGGACACTTTGAGCCGTCAAACACCCTGTCTTCTAGAACTAAATTGTCACTATTGTCTGAATTTATATCCGTCTGACGACTGGCGTCACTTTCCAAGAACTTCATGTAGAACCGCTCTGATAGGTCTTCGTCATCACTTCCATCAGCAGCTGGGTGCTGAGTTAGTTCAGGTTGCAAGCTGATGTCTGGAGCGTCTCCGGTCAGTGAAGATACAGCCAAGGGTGCAGATACAGGAGCACTGCTCACGCTCGCGACAAATACAACAAAGAGAAAGATTTTAATAATATTTCCTTCCATTGTTAACGATTATGTGTGACAACTGAACGACTGTTGTAATTAACTGATGGAGCAAGTGTTACTGGCTAATAACACTACGTTACTTGATCCCGAATGCGCGTTACCCAGATTTATATAGCACGTCTAGTGGTATGTGCTTTACGTCATCGCACCATGGGGATAATATAAAATAGCACATATCCCTAAGAAGAATTTGTTGAATTGTAATTCCATTACGCATTGTGTCTACATTACGTTCGTAAGTTGTACTTAGAAAAGCACATATCACAGCATAAGAGGGATATACAAAACAACTTGAATATCAAATAGAGTTGTGCCAAGGTTGCTGCTTATCACCAGTAGTATTTAATACAGTTGTTATATAATATTGTAACGTATGAAAAGAGGTGAGACTACCGGTTTAAGGTCATTTCGATTTAAGGATAAATGATAAAGAAAGATGAAATACATATATGAATAAATATATTTTGTTTAAGCTAAAGCTAAAACCCGTTTACAATTTTATACATTATACTTGATGGTGGTAATTTAATTCATTCATTAATTATCAATTTTTCACTGGTTTACTGCCTTTTGACCTAACCTGTGGCCGGCAACATCGAGTGACCGCCTGTCCACAGTCCTAATTGTATCACTGTATCCTTTGCTAATAGGCAGCAATAAAAGAAATAATAAAAAACATTGTCTTCTCCGTGGCCTAAAGTGACAAAAGTTTGGCAACAGAGCAACTTATCCCTGCCCCACGGGTCATGTTAAACAGAATTATGGAACAATAAAAGTAACTGTATAAACCTTATAATTTAAACTTCAAACTAAATTTCAACTGAGTTATATTCACAAAACCGAGAACTATTGACCAATGTAACAAGCTCGAAAATCGAGTAAAAGTAGAAATTCCAATAAATTATTACTGTATAATAAATCTATGTTTGAGAAGCCGCAGGGCACCAGAGCGAATAAATACCTACACAAAGAACAGTATTTATATATTCATGAATCCATTGTTCTGATAAAGCTACCTAATATAAATTCTACCTTAGGTAGATTGTGTGTATTGGAAGTTGTTAAAAGTTTTTTATAGTAAAGGCGAGCAAAACGAACAGCACCACCCCCATCCCCCCACCCGCCTTTGAGTTTGGGGCTCTGCTTATGCTTTTATGTTTTTTAACTGACTTCAAAAACTCTTTTTTTTTTTAATTGGGCTTATTTTTGCATTGTGCATCGGGCTTAGCACCGACTTCAAACAAACTAGCAGGGACTATTGCTATTATAATGTTATCGGTTACATTGAGGGGTCGCACTTTTTTTAGCTTTTTTACATAGATTTGTAATTATTTTTTAACTTATAGTGCTCTTTTTCAGGTTTGAAGTCGGGTTAACATTTTTTTTAATCATACATTGATTCAATTCTCAAAGAAAGGAGTAAAAAATTTTTTTATCCGCAAGCATACTCGACAGTAAGCGATAGTGTTGGTTGTTGTAAACTCGTTTATGATTCGTAGAGCTCTTCGTGGAGTAAACACGTTGGTGAAGGCCCTCGCGCCGCATTAACCAACACAACTCGAAACAGTTTCTACATCGTGTCGAGTGATGCTATCTTTTGAACATCTCCTCCAAGTTATCTTCGCTTTAAGAAATGTTGAAGAAATAAACACAGCGGTAGGTATTACAGTCACTACATAGACACATACACACCATGAAGAGTTAATGATATCGTACTTACTTAATAGGGTTAACAATCCTACTGCTGTCAACCTGCCACTGAAAACGAAGACTTACCTTCTTACCTTGAGAACTGAAAGTAATTTAAAATAAGGTATAAATAATATTTACTGAAGTCGTGCTGGCTCATTTGCCCCCACGGTAAAACCTCATACAATTTTTCTTTTCGGTAAACATTCTGATTAGAAAGTTATCTAGTTGGTTATAAATGGTGAAAAAAGAAAAAATCTTGCCACACGCAACTCATCTTTAGGCATGTTCTTGCTTCGACATTTTCAATACGCGCTTCTCACTTCTGTTCGAGTCAAGGGTCATTGCGAGAACTGCTGGTCAACGACAAACACTTAAAAAACTGATCTCACACTTTATAATTAGGCACATATTGCCATGCACCTGTTCGTGTACTGGTTACAGGAATCTGGACTGCTAAGGCAGTGATTAAAGGTTCAATTTCCACCTAGTATACATGATTTTTTTATCTCATTGTAATTTATCTGTAATATGTATGTACTCGTATTTAATAATATATCAGTACGTTTGTCAACAGTCTATCTGGTTCCCATACTCGATAGTACAGTCTATCTAGTTTAGGATCTGACACCCAGATCTAAGGTAAACGATTTCGTGATGTTGCTTATCCTCAAAAAAAATTAATTTAAACATTACTAATATATTATCAATTATAACTTAATATTAAATGTCAAGTGTCTAAAACCCCCAACTACTAACATTAAGATGGTGTAATTCGATCTTGGTTTGTTTATAATTGTTTATTGTCCTTATTTTGTTTAAATCCTAAGTCTATTAACTTACTTGTGGAAATTCCCCGGAACAACACAACACGTAAGACTAAATGAGGAAATCATCTTTGAGTTATTGGACCTAAATTCGTGAAGGACACACCTAAATTCGTGTTCATTGGTATTGTACATTGGTGACGGATTAAGAATACGGAGTGTCACCACCCCTATTCATCCTGTGGGTTTTGTAAGAGACGACTAAGAGAGCAAACTACACCGGTCAACAGAACTGCAAAGAGAAGAAAAACTCGAAACAAACGCGGCGTGGTATAATGGGTCAAAACATCCTTTCTAAGGAGAGGCCTATTTCTGGACTATTTAAAGACTGTTGACGTATAAAGTTGTGATATGATGGTACTGGTAAAATGGGTTGAAATGTATGTAAGCGGCACCGGGTAAGGGAGGAAGGTGATCATTAAAAAGCAGCAGATAAACTGGGCGATGTTAAAGTAGACAACCTAACAAATCTTTCTCCGCGCCTTCTGCCCAAACTACTCGTAGGTCGGGGTTGGCTTTAAGTCTAGTAAGATAGGCTGAACTTCAATTTTTTACGCAGAGCGACTGCCATCAGAACTCCTCAACCCAAATACTAGATGATATCGAAGTTCTGTAGAAAGACTGTTGTCTTTCTTTTTAGGGCTCCAACCCATAACGATCGCGACAGACGTTCGTGACCGGAACCGACGGCTTAACGTGCTCTCTGTGGGAGAGCCATGCTGTGCCATGCTTCGGCACAAACGGGCCTGCTCGACCGGAGTAGCAGCACGTCTTTCCTAATTTTGAGAGGCCCTCAAAGGCCGACCACGTACTTGTGACTCGAGGTACAGGTGTGTACGGGTAGCGGTAGTCACTTATAGTCAGGCAACCCACTTGCTTGTTTGCTACCTATACTATAAAATGAAAGTAAAGATGTTGGACTCTTGAGATGCCAAAATATGACGACATTTACCTACATCCAAAATAACACTACTTGTGCTGTCGGTTCCACAACACAACATGTGTATTATATTCTATTGTAAAAATAAAATACTAACTAATAAGGAATAAGGATGCCCACTAACCAATACACTTTTAAGCTTAAAGTACGGAAGCTCTATAGAGACTTGTTGAGTCATCAGAATAACACCTTAAGAGTTTATTTATTATCTTCGTATTATATATATTTGTCATTTATTATGATATTTATATGTATAAACTATATGTATGTATATCTAGTACTTATATATCTGTAGGATTTTTTCTTTTCTGCCATTGTAACATGGCTTAATTCAGTCTCATCTTTACCTGTCCCAAATATACACTTGCCACACACAGCTTTGCAACACCCAAAGGTTTGACTGGAAGATATTGCCTGAGGCATTAAGTCCGCCTTATGCAATATGTTTGCAGGAAGACTCAATAAATAAATAAGATAGAGTATTATTTATATACAACATAGATGATTACTCATGACCTCGAAGCCTTTTCGGTACCCTACCTCCCTCCTCTTAGTTCTGACTGTGAGACAGCTTTTTGTTCTCAGTATCATCCTCCGTAAGCATACGACAGTACCGCATGATTCCGGTACTATCAACAACAAATCCGGTAAAATCAACATAACACTCACCGATATATACAATCACTAAAACATATTAACACAACTAACCCATACACACGCGCGCACACACACACACACACACACACACACACACACACACACAGTCATATATATATATATATACAAACACACACACACACACACACACACACACATACGCACACGCACATATCACCTATTAGTAAGATGCTAGTATTGTGACATAAAAATTTAGCTATATAATAAAGCTGTTGATGTTATTTTATTTATGTGTTTATTTATTCTTCCATGTATATATTTTTCTATTTGTCTATTAGTTTTGTAGTTTGTGTCTAGATTAACGCTGTGTTTGTCTAGCAAGTATTAGCGACGTATGTTTATAGTGTGCTCGAGATCGCTGGTACCATAAACACAAGTTGAACTTTATTCTGGGTACTAGACTTTATGGTAAATACTGTCAATATCGTGTTTGTAACGCTGTTTTGTGCCATTTTAAGAAATAAATCATTTTATTATTAATAAAGTCAATTTTGAAGAAAAAAACCGGGTTGCTTTGTTAGGCCCGGGACTTTTTTTTATGTTAGAGGGGGCAGACGAGCCGACGGGTTAACTGATGAAAGGGACCATCACCGCCTATGAACGTCTGCAACTCAGGAGTCACAAACGCGTTGCTGGCCTTTTAGGAAGGAGTACGCTCTTTTCTTGAAGGTTTGAAGATTGCATAACCAATCTGTGGAAAAAAGTGTCTCACAGGAGTGGAGCGCCAACTATCCAGGTGATGAGGATAAAAATTTTGGCGTGTGGGACGATGGCGGAAAGTTGCGGCTGGTATTAGTCCGAACAATTCCTAGGAGCACTCTCCATGATATATGCATAGGAAGCCACATCTCCACTTAACGCCAACCGATCGGGCCGATCGGAGATGTTTGGGCTATCGACGATTCGAATCGCTCTTCGTTGCTGGTACTGAGGTGCCCCTACATAGAGATGACAACAGTATTCCCTATGTGGCCGGACTTACGCCTTATAGAGCTAAAGGCGGTGGCTCGGAGTGGAATACTGCCTCGATCTGTTCAGCACACCGAGCTTCTTCGAGACCAATTTGACCTTATCCTCTAAGTGACCCCGAAACTGGACTTCGCTCGATATGTCGATGCCTAGTATTCCGGATTGATTTTAGCCCATGTGTTATAATGTTTAATCACGGTCTGCCGAAGACACTGCTAAAGATGTAATGTTCGTTATATCTGTAGCGTTTTAAGTATTACATGTCTACGTGTAGATGTAAATGAACTATTGAAGCATGCAAACATGTTTCTGCATTGTCAAAGTGGAATCATGATTAACATCACCATCATCACATTAATAGCCTTTAATAGTCCACTGCTGGACATAAGCCTCTCCATAGAAAGGAGGTTTTGGTTTACTATACTACGCTAGCCAGCTTTGCAGTGCTGTTGTCCTGCGTAGCTTGTTCTGTTAGTCGCCTCTTACGACACCCACGGAATGAATAGGGTGGTGACATTCTGTATTCCTATATCTGGAAGCATGATAGTTCCAAAAATATTTTTGTTGTTGCTTTACAGTTACGTCATAAATGAATGTATATAATAAAAACATCCTTGTGAAACATGGACGATATATTTGTAAATATTATCCGTGTTCTTTCTAAATATAACCCACAGTTCAATTCAATATTACTTTGGTTCCAGATAACATTGTGCAATATGACAAAGAATAAAAACAATAATATTTGTGTTGCAACACAACGCCATCTAGTTTCAAACTAAGCAGAGCTTGTACTATGAAAGCTAGATTGACTGATAGAATACTTATATACTTTTTTTAGTAAATATAATTAATAAATAGAAAACACCCGAACTCCTAAACAAATATTTGCAGATTATACAAACATAATACTGGTAATAGCTAACACATTCAGAGCTGACTAGGTGTTACAAAATGCAGTGCAACCTTGATATAACGTATCGGAAGGGAAATAAATATTCGTTATATCAAGTAATTCGTTAAACTGAGGTTTGTTATATTGAGGTTAAGTTGGTCTAAAATTTATTATAAAGAGGTAAAAAAATCACCCCAACATTACGTACTCATCTTGTTATAGCGTACAACTTCTAAATCGCACCTTTATTCATAAACTGAATTAACTTAGAATTTCAATATTGTGGGAAATCGCATTTAAAGTTTGACATTTGTACGTGCGAGTTCGTCAAATAGAGAACGACGATCTCCTTATCTCTGCCATTTTCATGGTATCGAGTCGCCTGTTGGATTGTTCGTGTTCTACTGATGAAGTTGATTTGGTATTTGTTAAAAACTCGAAAAACGTAAATTTTGAATTAATTCAGTTTATTATTAAAGGTGCGAAATGATAACACATTTTTATAAAATTACTGTATATATTTTCTATTTAAAAAACAATTAGGAAGGTAACAATTTTTTTCCCTCAAATTAATAATCAAAATTAAATGCAGTAAAATCCGTAAAAGTAGGTATCAAGGTGGGTTCATACATTATGTAGGTCAGTTGATGTTAATTTCAAAGATTCGCACAACAAAACTCACAAATGAAAGGTAAAAAATCAACAATGGTAACAAAATTAAGATTAAGATATGGTAGCTTAATCTTCATTTTGTTCATCTTGATTAGAAAAATAGGTCATAAATTGTTGTCTGTTTACCACCGGTAAGAGTAATCACATCCAAAGCGCAATTTCGTGATGGATTTGACTACATCGTCGCTCAAACCTCACTTTTTGAGAAACACAGATTTTATTATATTTAAAGCATTATGAGCATCTTTTATTGTAAAGTCAGATTCATCAATTTCACCCCCTTCTTCCTCGCCTTCACCTGCTTCTGCTTAACACCTTTTACGTTTCTGAGCCATTGCAACTAGAATCTTTAACATTAGTGACGAGCAGCACTATTCACATTACTTTCCAACAATAAACACTGATTGTTTTACGAAAAAAACGTGTCGAAACCTGTCGCGACTAAATCACATACTATGGGATTAAGGGTCCTATTGGTGGGAACTTTAAATAATGGTTTTGGATTGAAAAAAATCGGTAATTAGAGGTATTTACACTTTTATTTGATAGTTAAAAATTCTTTATAAAGAGGTTGCTCGCAACAAAATCTTCGCAATGTAAAGGTATATTTTACATTGACTGTTATGGACAATTCTAGGGGATTGAGAAGAATTTGTTAAATCTAGGAAGTCGTTGTATTGAGGTACGTTATATTAAGGTTGCACTGTATTTAAATAAATATGTGTCGTTTTTCCTTGTAGTGACGGATTAAGAATACGGAATGTCACTACCCCAATTCATACTCGTGGGTGTCGTAAGAGTCGACTAAGGGCGCAAAACAACGCAGGACACCAGCACTGCAAAAAGAAGGAAAACTGGACACAAACCCTATACCAACCCGTCTGGCCAGCGTGGTATAGTAGACCAAAACCTCCTTTCTAAGGAGAGGCCTATGTCCAGCAGTGGACTATAAAAGGCTGTTGATGATGTGTCGTTTTGCAATGTTGATACATAAGCCTGGCTGAAGCCAAGACCAATCGCTAAGAACAATATTTCGTTATGTCCTCTATCACTTTGCTAAAGACGCACTAAAGAGCTATTGTTGGGTTAGAACACAAAAGAAACAACTGTTTTATATAATTATGTATTAATTATTTGACCCTTGTTCAACTAGATCACAACGTGCCCGACGATCAACGACTGGACAGCAAATACCGTGGTACCATTGCGTGCCTTTGGGACACTTTGAGCCGTCAAACACCCTGTCTTCTAGAACTAAATTGTCACTATTGTCTGAATTTATATCCGTCTGACGACTGGCGTCAATTTCCAAGAACTTCTTGTAGAACCGCTCTGATAGGTCTTCGTCATCACTTCCATCAGCAGCTCGGTGCTGAGTTAGTTCAGGTTGCAAGCTGATGTCTGGAGCGTCTCCGGTCAGTGAAGATACAGCCAAGGGTGCAGATACAGGAGCACTGCTCACGCTCGCGACAAATACAACAAAGAGAAAGATTTTAATAATATTTGCTTCCATTGTTAACGATTATGTGTGACAACTGAACGACTGTTGTAATTAACTGATGGAGCAAGTGTTACTGGCTAATAACACTACGTTACTTGATCCCGAATGCGCGTTACCCAGATTTATATAGCACGTCTAGTGGTATTTGCTTTACGTCATCACACCATGGGGATAATATAACATACCACATATCCCTAAAAACAATTTGTTGAATTGTAATTCCGAGGTTGCTGCTTATCACCAGTAGTATTGAATACAGTTATTTTATAATATTGTAACGTATGAAAAGATATGTGACTACCGGCTTATGGTCATTCTAATTTAGGGATAAATCATAAAGGAAGTTTTTTTTTTTAATTTACCACAACTACTTATTAACATCACGATTCGATTGGCATTTTCTGGTATACGATATAAACCAGAACCAATTAAGAATATTGGAAGCAAAAGTCACTAAAACATTGAAGTCGTGATAGCGGCTCGGGCTAGCACCATCTGCAGACCCGTCAACAATTTACAGGCACTCAAATAACTTTAGAATTAAATTAAAAAGATCTTCTATACTGTACACACATAAGGGTTAGGGATGGAACAAAATGTTTCACCTGTGATAAATCATATGATAACAGCGCCAGCCTCTCGGAAGATCTAAAATTCTAGTTCTATCAAATCTTATAAAAAATTTTTTTACGTCATTTATCTTCGTCTGTGACCAAATCACAATCACATATGAATTCTCTGTGACTAAAATCAATCATTTCATCATATGATTATGATTTGAAGGTAGCAATAATTTCCATGTCTACTATCAACAGCCTATACTAGTCCACTGCTGGACATAGGCCTCTCCTTAGAAAGGAGGTTTTGGCCTACTATACCACGCTGGCCAGACGGGTTGATATAGGGTTTGTTTCAAGTTTTCCTTCTCTTTGCAGTGCTGTTGTCCTGCTTAGTTTGCTTAGTTTGTTTTATGTCTACTAAGGGTTACCAAAATGCATGTCTTGTCAAAATCACAAGACGAAATCGTTTAACCCTTCCAACAGACAGAAATCCTTTAAAGATCAAACCGCGGCTCTAATTTTAGAAGAAATTTATGAATGGTATGCAGTGCAGTAGAGCTGGATTGGGAAATACTAGGCAGGCAGACAAAAAGATAACTAAATCTTTCTTTCCATAAGATAAAAATGAAACCTACCCTTGTAGGTACACGCAATGAACCTAGAAATGTTTTGTATCAACCTAGTAATACGAGAAACACCTTGTACTATGTGCAGTGCGGCAATACGTACAGCCAGGCATTTACTGATAAACTGTGAGGTACTACGAGTATTATCGCGGGATCATTGCTCACGTCGCCAAGTTAGGGTACTAAAAGTACCCGGTACGGTACGCGAAAATTTTAGTTTATCACTGGCGAGATAACAACAATTAAATAACATCGAGTTTATAAAGGAAGGCTCCTACGTAAAGCCTACTCAATCTGACTGACGGTGACTGAACATTATTAGTGGACACGTATGAAAATCATTACAGAATACCGGAGGATATCTGTGCCTCGGCGTCTAAACCAGACATCTTTCTATATTAAGCGTGAAGTAGTAGTAGATCTCACGGTACCGTAGGAAACCAACATCCAAAAGGACCACGCTTTAAGAAACAATCAGTACTTCGACTTAACCTACTAAATAACTAGAAATGGCTCTTTCATTACGTTGTATGACGTGGAAGTATATATACTAGCTGCATCCCTCTATAACCTGTGTAAAGAACATGGATTTCTTTACAAACTGGCAGAATGCTCGGCGTGTAGTAATGAGTCACAGTGGTTTTTCAATGAGCCACAGGTGTGAGTATATGATGTATTACATGAGATTGTGATTTTATTCAATTTTCTGTGGGCCGTGGTATCACACCGGTCGAGACGCCCACTGGCTCTCCCACGGTTGATGGTTGTTTGTACTATATACCTAAAGTATTTAAACGAGTCTTTACTTCAAACTGTTACTTAAACTATATAATATAATAAATATTGTGTAAAGATCACTATTATTTTCTTCTGTATCTGGGTGTAATTTATTGATCTATAATATGTACGTATTTAGAAATGTATTCTATAATTTATCCTAATTCGGGATTAAACTTTACTAGAAGAAAACTTTTTAATTAATAATTACATAATTAAGAATTAAGATTACACATTCCTTAAGTAATTTGTATTTTCCAACACAAAATGAATCATTTAAGTCAACTGATACAAAGAATAGCGCGTGACTGACAAACAAAATAACGCTTCTGTTTAATTATGTTAGTAAAATAGTACATGTAATAAAACTGGCTTTAATCCGCGGGTTCGCTCGCGTTAGTATCAATTTCGCTAATAAACTTTTGAAAAGCAAATCAGAGGATGTGTGTTTAGATATCGCCATGTGGTGTGCCGTGCGACAGAAATTCTACCTGAACGTGACTATTCGTTTTAGTAACACAATTGATCAACTATAAAATATAAATACCAATTTTCCTACGAAGGGCAGTCCCAAGTCCCAGTCGGAGCCGCAGCGGTGGCATGGTGCGGTGACCTCACGTCCGATACGATCCAGATACTCACCGAAGCAACCGGTCCCGGTGACCATCTAAACTCATGATATATTGTTATTAAGTTAACTATATTGTAATCGTGTTGTTGTAAGATTGCAAGCATTAGCGGTGCCGCAATGTGCGGTCTAAAGTTCCGGTTTATCCGGTCATGTTAATATTGGTACGATACCGAACTTTGTTTTCCTCGTCTAACATCCCCTGATGCCGGTGGGTCGTACGAGAGCGTTTGTACTCATTCTACAAATTAAACCAAATATATGTTAGGTTGTTAGTTGTTTTGTGGTCCGTAAGGTTGGCGTTGCGTTTGCCAACCACAGACAAAACGAGCATTCTGTCCGTTTTATTTTTAATTAATAAATGTAACTTTAAATTTCACATTTGTTTTTGGCTTTAAAATATTTTATGTTTGTACAGTTTATTACTACGTTGTACTGAAATTAAACTTCATTGACTTCATAGAATTACTTACAATAAAGGGAATAAGAAATATCTTATAGAGCTCGGAATGCCTTTTTTTCACGTGTGGAAACCCCCTCGGGCCGTCACCCTACCGGGGTTTGCGGCTGGGTGGTGTGTAGGAATCGGATCGACTAAAATCACACGGTGTGCATAAAAGAATTTTGGATTTCGGTTCACAATTGACGGAGTTATCGGTGAACATAAACAATAAGATACATACAGGGGAACATAGAGTCTCCTTCTTTTTGAAGTCGGGTAAAGAACTCCGCGATGGTATATGGCTATCTCCTAAGGATAGTCCACAGTAAGCATTTTTATCTTTCAACGGGCAGGATCGCAGCGGGTCTATAAATACTGCATATAAAAATGTCCTGTGGTATAGTCCTATCATAATAATAGTATAATTAATTACTCCACACTGACACCACATTGGTAGTGTTAGTAGTATCTACATTGCACCCGTGCGAAGCCGGGGCGGATCGATCCTAATTATACCGCTCCGTTCCTGCCGGCCGTTGCCACCCGGGACGGAAGTACGGCTAACTAAATGATATGCTGTAAAGAGCGATTTTAATCTACATTAAATGTACCTAACGTATTTAATTGGATAGGTAATAATAACGTATTATTTAAAATAGCTTCGTTAATAAGCCATTAGTTTTTTGTAAAATTTCAAAGATAAAAGTGATTACTGTTGCTTAACCTTAAGAGATAGACATATAATATCGCAGACTTTCTTGTAGATCGTTTTAAGATATACAATTCCAGTGATAGCCATTCCATTATTTTGGTCTATCTCGTAAGATTTAGCTAGCGTTTGCAATGTAAGCACACAAAGACATGTTATTATCACAAATCTTTTATACATATAAACCTTTCTTTTGAGTCACTTTCTCTATTGCTGAAAACCTAATTAAATCTGTTGCTTAGTTTAAAAGATCTAAGCAAGTGCGTGCGTACTAAAGCAATAAGTGTCAGAAAAACGAAAGCAGAGCGTTCTTCGTTCCAATAAGTATTTATCTAATTATTTCAATTAAAACCAACTATCATTACAGATTTAGCCCAATGCGGTAGTGTTATACCACCTACTTATTAATTATTAAAATTAAAATTATTTCTTCACGCTGTTATTCTGAATCCACTCGATGAGCAATATACGTTGACTCCTAGAACTGTGGGTTACAGCCCCAAACCATTCAAATAAACGATATTCCTTTACCACCACTCTCTTTCTATTTACTACCACTTTTCCGGTGGTGACTGGTTTCGTCCTTCCATAAATTCTAAAGGACTTATGGATGGACGAAACCGTAAACCGTATAAAAGAAAGTTAACATAATAAGTTGTGTTACCCCACACTTATGTCCGCAAAATAATTCAGTAGGTAAAGGGAGTTCATTTGTGCTTATCCAGTTATCGTTTAATGAATGGTAATGGTTAAGTTATGGAAACTAATTAACAAACTGCTGAAAAGTAACGTTGCAGAAAAGTTAGTTTTAGATCAGAGACTACCGATTGGACCTTCTTTACATTCTGTAACTATGGTGAGTCCGAATACTGTACGACTCTCGATCTTTGGTTATTTTTACCGAATCATATACGAGTATTACGGTATTTAATTAGTGGTAGTGTGCTGCAGACATAGACCTTATATTCAATCTGCGTTATCTGCCCTATCTTTCACAAAACTCAGACACGACTGGGTATTCTTTTGGGTCATGTTTGATGTATATGGACACTCTTTGTCCTGTTAGTGTAATAAAATAGTAGTTAACGTTTGACCCATTTTTTACAGTTTTAGGGGACGAACAAGCAGCGGGTCTTCTGTCGGTAAGTGGTTACCATCACCCATACACACCAACTACTGAAAAGTCACAACACACAGTCTCTCGCTACTGGTGGTCGGTTTGACAGCCATACTCCGTTTACGATGGGGACAGAGGTTTTACCGCGGTCAC